TATGACGTTCGACGAACAAGACCATGGAAGCAGAGCTTGAGGAAATCAAATCACTGATTGCGAGAACACAATTTAATCATAACTGATGAATGCAATCTGAAACACTCGAAGCCTCTACTTAGCGAATAGCATCGGCAAGGTTACAGATACGAGTGACTTCACACCCCTCGAAAGTAGGTACAGTGATACGGTAAGGGAACAGTCAAGCAGCCTTTGACGGTCATTGTATGGGGGCTGTCTGAGTAAAACAACTTCGGACAAATGTTATGTTTCACAAATAACTTGAACACGGTGAATTTCTCTATCAACGGATCCACCGAAAACCTCTTTCTTGGTCAACTGATAGTTCTTACCCAACGACAACAGCCCAAAACATCGGTCAAGGTGCGGCAGTGCATGGAAATCTACCTGGTTCATCACCATACTTGCATGCCCGTCGCTGAGCCTTGAAATGACTCTAATAAAAAATCTGCGCTGCTCTTTTCAACAACGGTGATCTAGGGCTTTCCAAGATTTCACCGTCATAAAGAAAGAGTGAAGCGAACTGCCAAATGATCTGGCCTAAAATCTTCTAAATAATAAGAAAAAATGTGTTCGAGCTGTGATCGACTCATATGGCAATTGTACTTATTCCAGAGAAGCATTTTAAACGTTTTCTCTATCAACAGTCTGTAATAAACTAAAACTAATCGAAGTAGAAATTCTCTCATAATAACCAAAGCACTTCAATTCTTACTTTCACTCCGCACATCTCTAGAACAATTCTACTACAATAATCGGACTGAGGATCAGACGAGCGCTAGTTTCTCATGAAACTCCTTTGGGACATATAAGAAGCAACGAGCTTTCGTGGAATAGTTGATCCAGATCAAGAAACTTTGTGAGTATCGAGACTGAGTTTACCGAAGTTGAAAGTCGTGTTTGAAACATAACTCTATCTCTATTCAGCCAATCGAGCTCGAATCGCGTGCGATGATAGAGGAAAAATATGTTTTCTAATAAATATATGATTCGACAGAAAGAAGTGAAAGAACCTTAATTTCTTCTTGTGTTGCTGCATCCAACATCAGCTGAAGTAAATCCATCCGTTTCTTTCCAGATGTTAATCTTTCTTTCACTACATTTTCGATTTGTTTGACAATCCATAGTTGAGGAGAACCTTCAAAGTTATGCATAAGCGAAGGCACCCATGCACGTAAAAAGTTGATTACGATGAAAGAAGTCTTGAAAATTTGGATCAGTAATGGAATAACAAATGGCATGATAGTGGATAATCTAACAACGGACATTTTCTCCGGATCACGGGCAAAGCAGGCTAGTGATTTTTTCATGAATACGTTGTCCACATCATTTTGCATGTCAGTATCGATACCGAATGCGCAGTGCCCTAAAATTAACACGCATTTTGCTAGTGATGAAAAAGGATATTAAGCGTAAGGGGGCAACAGTAGACTCCACGGAATTTCAGAGAGCAAGGAAGTCCTGTGCAGTTCCGTATAGACTAATGGATCCATGGGCTGGAGTTCTGCATGTCAGGTTTCTCGGGCCTAAACATATCCAACAATTTCTTTTCGAACCCGAGACAAAACTCGAATTTTTGAAGATATATTTAGACTAGAAGAAATAAATGGAATTTTTTTCGAGGAGCGCCGGATAATTCTGTCAAATATGTAGACGACACCGTCTACGTTGATCTTCTCGCGCCTCTTTTGGTGTGAATATGAGATCGAGCGCTCTGCTGATCTATTTGTTCGCCTAAATCTGTTTGAAAATAGTCATTTTCAGCAGAACAGTTATCGAAAGAAGCTCTTTAAAATATTGCTGCTTCAAATAGGTCAAATATCGTAGATCTGCTCCCTCTATATTGTACGCGTGCAAGTCAGAACGAGGCAATCCTATGCAACATATATTGTACCATAGATTATAATTCTTTACTTACAGATAACATCCATAGTCAGTCGTTTGTACAGTGCATAGATATTAAATTCATTACCATTCTTCTCATCTACTTTTTCCACCATCGATTTGATGCATTTATTCATAAGTGGTGCCATCATTTTCAATTTTGCTGTTGTAAACGTCGGATTGATGACATGTCGTTGACGTCGCCATTGATTGGCGTGTGAAGAAAATAAGCTTGCTCCGTTACTTTTAAGCAACCGAATAAGGAAGTTATTGTGACGTGAACGAAACGATGAAAATTGTTTGATATATACTTCTTGCAAGAAATCAACATCCGACACGACATATATCGGACGTGTTCCTTCGAAAATACCGTAAATGGGACCATACTGAGGCGCCCATTTTTGAATTTGACGGTGATAGTATGGTGTACTCCATATACTCAGATAGTGGCCAAAGAAGAAGTTAGGTGGTGGGCCAGGAATATTTCGACGTACAAAATATTCATAGCGTGATTTCAAAGTCCACAGATGGGCAAAGAGAAGACCAATGATAGCTATCAACAACGTGACGGTAATAATCATTGTGTGCTGTTACAAACGCACAGAGGTAAACTTAAAAGAGAGACGCTGTGCTTTTGTGTTGTCACCGAAATAAAAATATATCATGAGAGAGAAGATATGCTTTTTGTTCTTATTTCTGACGTGCATGACGTCATGTGTAAGGTGTAATATCGCAATTCGTATTTTGCCATAGCCTGAAGGTCAACAAGTTCATAAAGATACAATAAGCCATACTTTTCTAGAAATAATACTCTCGGATTTAGGGATGCACCAAACCCGAACTCAGGCTTGGAAGTTCGGGTTCGAAAGTTTGAGCTCGGCTACGAGATTGAGGTTCGGATTCAAGCTTGAGTTCGGGTTCGAGCTTGGGACTAAGTTCGAGTTTGGGTTCGGCAAGCTCGGGTTCGAGCCTGGTTATGATTGCGTGCTAACATTTTCTCGGTACAAAACTTCGAGTATATTTTCCAGAAACAATAAAGACTTACTAATATCGAGCTCTACATCTTGAGGAGAAACACCTCGAGGTAGAGACATACCGTTATTGTTGACCAAGTGTAACTATTGCAGTCTGATTGTACTGCGATTATCCAAGCTAACCGCTGTGGATCTCTGTCACTCGATGTTTCTCCAATGATGAACACGAACACTCGACACTATTAGCTAAGAAAACAGATTATTTTAGGCACCAAATGCTTACAGTTCTCCATTAAGACTTCGATAGTTGCTTCCATCTTCCCTTTACCAGTCAGTTGAACGAGCTTTTGTTGTTGTACGGTTGTTCCGCCGGTAATGTGTTTTCTCCAGTTAACTGAGTTAATTTTCTAGTTTTGTTATTACTCATAATGTGTAATATGCAACAATGTAATAAGCAAACAATGTTCGAGAACAGGTAATTCAGTTAGTTCTCCTTGCATGTGTGTCTATAGTCGTTGTTTTTTTTTCCTTCTTTCCTGCGAAAAGATGTTGCACACGTTATGTGACGGTTCGCCCGATCATATGGAGATGCAAGTTTTGGCTGCATTAGAAATATTCAATCGTGATCCGGATGCGTACATTCGACGGCGAGCACACGAAGTTCTCTCGGCCTACCGACGATCGGGCAAATGGAATATTCTTTAGATGAAGACTTAATCTTTTTTCCAGAGAGCGATAAAAACGAAAAAATCATGTCGATATTCAATTAATATGACAATAAACTTACTTTAAAGATGGTATCCACTCATTTAGATTACCCTCATACTTTATCAGTTTGTACAGTACACTTTGCAACATATATGCCAAAGTTTCCTCGGGGTGCAGCCATTATCTGATTCAGAAAAACAGTTTTGAACATCGCACCTTTTTTCAGGATCTTTCCTATCCGATGGTCTTTCATCATGAAAACCCGGTTCAAGCGCAGAACGAAAGAAAAGCTTTTGTTGAACATGACTTGAACGAAAAATAGAAAAAGCTTGTGTTCTTCCTTCCTTTTTATGAAAAATAATACTAATTATCATTAATTTCAGAATGATATAATGAGAATTTGTATTCTCGATTTCGTTCTGGTTCAAGATTAACGCTTAAACCGCGTATCATTAATTAATGTTACTCCTCTCTAGTAAAGTGAGATTTGTCTAATAACTACTCAACGTACAGAATCTCGATACATCATGTGATACAGAATGTTATGGGCTACATCAGGGACTGGTTTTTAATTTTTTTGAAATAAAATTTCGTCGTTCAAGAAATTACTTTTCTCTGATGAAGAAACTGTTCTCCTCTTCCCTGGTGCGCCAAATTATAGAAAAGTACTTTTTTGATTTCTTTCCATAAAAATCTTTCGCTCCTCAAGATACTCTTGTCCAGAGCTGATTACATGAGGGCTCGTATCCCAGTATAGTCTTACCTACTCGCAGGAAAAGCTACCAAAAATGCAATATGAAAGTACAACATTTATCTAAGGATACTGGCCCGGTCGTCCAGGATAAAAGGGGCCGCGGCGGTTGTTCCGGTTGTTGTTGTAATCTGGGTTTTACCCTCGGATTTGACAAAAAGCTGGACGTATTCACAACAACCTGCTATCGAATGATGCACGTACAAAAGTAAAGAAGGAAAAAGGAACGGTGCGAAAACAACCTAGTGATCGGAGAAGAGTAAGGGTTATGATGTGAGTGTGTGTGTGTGGAAAAGAAAGAAAAGAGAGTACTAAGAATACATGTGGTTTTAAGATAAGGAAAAGAAAAGAATGATCAATCTATATTTTTTTTGGGTGTTATATAAAAAGGACGTCCACATAAGATTTCTCATAGTCCAGTTTTTTATCGAATTATAGCGGACGTTTTTGTTAGAGAACTATTCTTTCTTTCCTTTTTTTTCATTCATACTCACACAGCAAAGTGATCGTGACGGGAAATGTATTGCATTGAAGTGGTCGATAAACACAAACACACAGAAAAAGGGTATCATATCAAAGTAGAAATAACATCAGAAAAAAGAATATTGAGTTGAAATATATTAACATATTGTATATCGCATGACGATGATTTCTTCTTCTTTTCAGTCAATTGTATAGATTAATTTCCAAACCCACCATTTAATTTCATTCTTCACATAGACAGGACAATCATTAGGAATAATTCGAGAATCACTACTAAGACACTCTGTCTTCGTTGAAATTTGATATTCATTTCCGAACTGTTCCCATACAAATTTCAGAAATGATATAATTTTATTTTGTAAAATTTCTTGTTCACCATGAAACTTTGTTGCAAGATGTTTAAGAGCATCTTTATTATTGCATACAATTTCAATAATCTGAAACTTCTCCGGATTGTGTTCCTTTGTAGCATACATTGGTATACTAATATAGAGAAAATTCATAGGAACCGAACGTTCAATAGCAGTAAAAACTGTTTTGTTCTCCTTTGAGTTTACTGGCCATTGAACATTCATTCTAATATCGTTGTCGGCAATTTTTTCTAAGAATTCTTAAGCAGCTTTACCATATTTAATTGCAGTTAGCGCTCCACCAATTACGTCCGCCATTTTTTGATCTGAGCTACGAGTAATGCTTTATAATATTGGAAGAAAAAGAACTTCTGTGTAATTATTTATAGAGGAATCAAAGAAATTAGAAAAGGGTTTTTTCGTTTTACATATTTGTTTCGCTTTACTGTTTTCTTTTTATGACACATGTAAGTCATACTTGTGCTTCTCCTTTATTTTTCTTGTGAATATTTGTCTTTATGGGTTTTCGGTTAGAGAAAATAATTTTATTATTCTGAGTTAAACAATAAACACAGGAACACAAAAGAAGAATATCATACATCAAAATAGGAAAAAAGATCAAAAAATCTTTAGCTTAAAAATATATTATTTATAATCAGATAAATCGTTACGTTCTTCTTCGATTCAGTGTATATGTTTATTTCCAACCCTGATTTCGTTAGCAGGTGTCATTAGAGCCAATGATCACCAGGAACATCTTGAGTATTACTGCCTGCACATTTAGTAGTGGTTGTAATTTAATAGTCGAATAGGGAAGAAGAAGAAGAAGAAGAAGACATCTGACCACGTTTCTTGCACCATTCACTTCACAAGATATAAAACAGCTAGAGTCAATATGGAAAACGACCAACATGGATGCTTTACTGGTTTAGCATTTGTCAATGTACCAGGCACAGATCTCAATAAAAGCTTGGATGATCATCATCATCATCCGTTTTTCATTAGCAAAAAGCATTCTTTAAAGTTGAAAAGAATGTTACCTGACATTCCATTCGAAGACAAGTTAACACGATGCGTAGTGTCACCAAAAATCAAAAGTGTATTCGCACCTCACTGAAATGGTATTTCATCTGATTTAATACTGACTTGGTTTCAACATTTAGGTTCGATCGATCAGCCGTCTGGAATCCTTCTTCGATACAAATTAAGTAAGAACAATAGCAAAAATTCGTTATGAAAATGCTGATTCCGTTGATCAAATTTAAGAAGCATGTCCAGTCGATCCTTTATTTATTGAGCGCGTTGAAAAGATCGTGCCATCGTTATCATCTTATGAAATTATTCAAACAAATCGCACGATAAACAATGCCAAAATGAAACGAAAAAACTATCGTCAGGAGAAATTAAAAAAGAACTACTGTAGTGGTTAGATTTAGATTAAATTTATTTCTGAGTAAATGTTTTTTTGGTAGAGTAATAATAAAGACTAGAAGCAACTTAAAAGAATCGTTCCTATAGAAGAGAAAACAGTAGATGTAGAGAAGAGCAACTATAATAATGATAACAAGCTCGGGATGCAGGTTTGAAGACCATTTTACAGAGAATTTAGACGTAATCTCTCTGGGTAGCTAGTTTTCGCACTGATGATCTATCATTAATGAATACTAGGAAAAACCTTTTTAATATATACATTGATGTTACTTCAAAACCTTTTAGGCTTAGAAAACTGTGACTAACTCCTTTTAAAATGACAGTGCAACCTTTGAGTAATATAGTACATGGAAAAGTTGTCCGCTTCATTTCGTTGATAATTCAAACTATATTAAACTTTATTTTAGTTTCAATAGAAAGCAAATCTGATATACGTAAGATATCCTTGGTCAGGATTCCAGTTTTCTTGAATGGATTTGCCTAGAGACCGATTCCAACTTTCTTTGCGCTGGCTCCAACTAAAACGAGCTCTACCGGTTTCACGTGTCGCTTTTCAGAATTAATCATGTTATCCAGCTGATGATCAGATTGCGGTCCGGATAAATTCTTCTGTACTCGATTACAAAAAGCAGGATCAGGATCATGTAAGGTGTTACGTAATAGTGTTTTCTCCTCAAAAATAGATATCTATCAAAATTAGACGGTATATAGCCTTGAAACCCAGTGGATGGATTCAGAGGGCCTTCTGTACGATTCTTGAGATCTTCGAATATTTGCTTTTGCTGTAAAAGTGAATTTTATGCAAAAACGCACTTTTGTTAATAAAGCATTAAATAGGTGCAATAAATAAAAAAAAAACAATTATTTTTCGTATTAGCTGACTTTATCACTATTTTCACTTTCATATGTTTTGTTATTTGTTTTTAATATATAATTTATAGGCTCCCATCAAAGTCTGCGAAAAATAATTCTTTTTTGTTTTTTTTGTTGCATCTATTTAATGGTTTATTAGCAAAAATGCGTTTTAGCATATAAGTTACCTTTAAAAAAGCAAATACTTGAAGGCCTCAAGAATCGTACAGAAGGCCCTCCGAAATCCATGCCATACTTCTAGAACGCGCCACATATGTTTATAGCGTCGCTAGCTGCAACATTGGATGCAATTCGATTAGTACTTGTGATTTATATACAATATGTTTCATGTCAAATACACGTAGCTTGAAACAATATGTTTCTCCTAGGCAGACCTTCATAGAACCTTTCAAAAGCCCTCAGTACAAGACTAAATCTTATAGATTCTGGACGCAGAACTTCAGGTTATTCCTTCGTGTGCTTATCACAAAATCGATTTTTTTCAACCAAACTTCGACAAATAAACACGAGATATTAATCTTTAAAGGGGATTATGTTAAGTGACTGGTTTTAATGAAAATATCATAAAACCGGTTGTTTTTGAAACTCTCCTCAGAAAAATTGTTTGAAGCACTCACTTTCTGACCCAGTTATTGCATTTATTCGTAATAACATTTCGTGGCATTTTGGAACTTTCTCTGCCGTCAAAAATGTTTAAAAGAGAATTTGCAGGAGCACCGCAAAAATTGATTGAATCTTCAAGAAATAAACTTTAAAAGATAAAGTTGTCTGTAGGAAAATATTTTCAACGTTCGAGAACGTTTCTATTATTTCGTCGTTTACAAGTGTTAGGACACCGTTTCAAACGAGAAGTAACCCTTGGGGCATAGTGTATTCATTGAGTGCAGTTTATTCTAGAGTCTGTTCGATTCTTACAGTACATTACATGCGCTCAAAGCAAGAATCTAGAATCTAGCAAGAAATCATATGATCTTGCAAGATCTTGTCAATAAAAGAGCGCTTACTTATATTCAGTTCTTATCACAAGATCGTACGAAGTCTTGTTATAAGACCTTACAAGAAGATGATTCTTGCCACAGAAATTTTTCTATGGTTTATAGTATATACAACAGTGATTGCACAAGTAGTGTTAGACGATACATACCAGTTCACCTCTATCGTGCAATTAGAGCTGACAAATTACAGCGAAAGTCTCGAAGAAAACAACGCTCACCGGAACACTTTTTCTTTTCTCAGCCGTGAAACTGATTTTCTCCACTGAAAAGTTTATCTCTTCAAGATAACGAATTTGCACCTAATCAAATTTTGGCGACTAAGTTGCGAGAATGTCTATAACTGGATACTGATCCAGACAGTGTACAATACGTGACACAGCTGTTGCCGTCTGCCACACTGTTGATCTAGTTAGACAAATAAAGAGTATGACACCATCTCTTTTATTTTGTCAAGAAAACAAAACTTTTTTTGTTTTACTTGTGTGCTCTAGTTTCTACTAAAATTTAAGTTAATAACGTTGACAGTACAACACAGTATTACGTTAGAACTCCATATATGACCCATGCAATAAACTGGCATTTAAGAATTATTACAGAATAAATGAAGTGCCTATCCTGTCGTAGAGCTAAACAAAAGAAAAAAATTTGCCAGGAATGGGGATCGAACCCATGCTCACTATTGTGAATTGGATCTTAAGTCCAACGCCTTAACCACTCGGCCATCCTGGCTGTGACCAAACATTAACCAGAATCGACCAGCATAATGTGGATATTTCTTGAGCAAAAAAAGGCAACCTATGTTTGTGCTTGAATAGTTTAAGTTATTATAGTGAGTGTGCACACTTTAGCACAGCTTCAAATTTTATCAAACTTTGTCAAAATATTCTTCTATGTATTGCACATGTATCATGCCAGTCCAAATGGTTGCTGACTGAGTTATGATTCTCCAAAAAACCCTTTCTGTTTGAAGTAAAATCCAATTTTCACGGATCAGAAGCACTTTTATTAAAAACTAATAAGATATGTGGAATCAGCAAGAAAAACTGCATCGAATGATGTCTATGTAAATTATCTCTAAACAGAAAATGTTTCGATTCAGTGTAATGAACACCCAATTGGATGCATAACACTCACTTTTGCAGTCCCTGACCCAGTCAATGCAAATAATGCAGGCAACAACAAGTGAGACCACAACAACATCAAATCCCAGCGAGCGTCCAATATTTGTTGAACCCCACACAACAAAGGTTCTTCTATCAAAACGCATCAGTCACTTGCTCGAATCAGACCCACTCACCGGAGCACCTTCCCAAGATGTCTCTGACTGGCTCGATGGTTTCGAAGACAAGTGCAACAAAGTTCAGTTGACTGATGAACAGAAATTCTCAATTGTACAAGATCTACTCAAAAACAGCGCAGAAATATGGTTCGACACGCACAAAGCTGTAATCAATGACTGGCAAACGTTCAAGGAAAAGGTCAAAGCACATTTCGAACTAATGGCTGGCACTGATCAATTCGAACGGTGCAAACAACGTCACAGTAACGAGCCACCTGTTGATTATTTTCACAATGTGATAAACTCTGTTTAAAAGTCAACGAAACATTGGACGAAGCCATTCAAATCAAGCACCTGCTCAATGACTTGATCTTACGGGCCAAGTCTTACATTGAGGTGAGAAAACTAGAAACCATCGAGCACTTTCTGAAGGTATTCATTGAATGCGACAAAGTACTGGCTGAAGAAGACGCACGACAAGCGCCAATAGCAGTACAAAATGACCGATATCTCACACAAGGCAAGACGCGAGTATCAATGTCTGTACG